CGGTAAAGACCCTCGCACGGTTGCCCTCCAGTGGGGCAATGACCGCACTTAAATCGACTTCTAGTAGGGACCTGTGGATGAGGGAACTTGGAGGGAGGGTGTCCTGTAACGTCGTTGATGCGTCTTGGGCTTGAACTGGTCCTCCCTCCTCCCCTTCCTCCTCCTCATCCTCCTCCTCCCCCTCCTCCCCCTCCTCCTCCTCCTCCTCCTCGTCCTCCTCCTCCTCCTCCCTCCCTCCCTCCCTCCCTCCCGCCCGCCCTCCCTCCCTCCCCTCCCTCCCACCCTCCCTCCTCCTCCTCCTCCTTCCTCACTCCTCCTCCTCCTCCTCCTCTCGTCCTCCTCCTCCTCCTCCTCCTCCTCCTCCTCCTCCTCCTCCTCCTCCCCCTCTCCTCCAACCTTCCTCCTCCCTCCGCCTCCTTCTCCACCCCTCCTCCTCCTTCTCCTCCTCCTCCTATTCTCCCGCCTCCCTCCGCCACCCCGTTTTCGGGGCTGGGCCTGTACGGGTGGCTGCTGGACCGTAGTGTCGGGAATCCCGCGCCCCCACCTTTTCCTTGCTTGCCGGCCCTTGTGTTGTGCCTCCGCCTTCCCTCTCTCCCCCTCCTTTTCCCTCCCTCCTCATCTCCTTCCCCTTCTTCCTTGCCAGACGTTTCTGCAATACCGCATGACGTGCCACTGTTTCACCGAGTCACTGTCCGATGCATGCTCGGCCTCTCCGTGCGCTTCGCGCACTGTGGAGCCGTCCCGCTGGACGGATGTTTGGCCGCCGCTCCGCTCCGCTCCCTCCCTCCTCATCCCCTCTCCTCCCTCCCTCCCTCCTGCTCCTTCCCCCTCCTCCAGCCCATCCTCCCGGGGAGAAGGGGGATCGAGGCTTCTGAACGTCTGCGGCGCCTTTTTCGGGCCAGCCGAGGCGGGGGAACCGACCACGGGGGTGCACCGCAGCCCCGCTCGCGCCCAGATTGCGGGGGGGCCTTTTTGAGCAGAACGGCCGCTTCGGCGCTCCTGCCGTGCAGACGTGTCTCCGGATCTCCCGATGCAGCTTTACGACCGCCGCGATGCAGATGGCATGGCACGAGGGTCTACCAAAGGGGAGGCCCACAAGGGCCTGCTCACGAGCCCGCTCTCGCTGGAAATACCAGCTTGGAGAGGTAGACGTGTGCGCCTTCGGAACCCCAAGATCATCGCGATGTGGCACCTGTGGCACTTGGACCTCACCAAGGTGAGGCTCACCATAGGTGTATCAGAAGGCGAGGACCTCCCAGGCGCCCAAATTGCAGAATCTCCTCACGACTGTCCAGACGCACTCATCTCTAATCTAGTCACATGGCACACTCTTACCTTGAGTCACGTATGCTCAGTCGCACATAGTCAGACACACTCGCACCAAGACCCATGTATATCCAGGCGCTTATACGCAGATCGATGTGTACTCCGCCGCTAATACGGTGAAGAGAAAACGCTAGAACGTGAACGTACGTATGGGGATGTCCGCATCAATCAAATTCTAATGTGTTGTTCCTGTAACTCTCGACCACTGCCCAGGTCAAGTGTTACCATGGTCTGTGCTCTGATAGTGCTACAGGAAAACGAACAACTCCTTCTTGCCTCATCATCTCATGATGCTAGAAGTCTGGGGAGGACGAAGGAGGATGAAGGGGAACCCTTTGTGCCTCCGGAGGACGTGCCGGCCAGGGGTGTATGACGGGCTGGTTCGCAACCAGATTGTGCCGACCGCTTAAGCAGAATGGCCAATTGACAATGTGGACGAATCTCTTTTCAGATCTCCTAGATTACGGCGATGTAGCAGGCATGGCGCTTGGGCCTCCCAGGCAGGGGCGACCAGGGTTGTGTCACTGGTCCGCTCGGACCCAGATTGTGCAGACCTCTCAAATAGAATGGCCGTTGTGACGCGGTATACGTGTCTTTTGTCAGAACCCAAAATTTACCGCGATGTAGCCGGCATCACACTAGGATGCGCCAGAGAAGAACCGACCAGGGGTGTATCACGGGCTGGCTCGCCCCCAGATTGTGCGGGCGTCTCAGAAACACAATTGCCGTTTTGCCCGGGTCGATGCGAGTTTCTCATCAGAAACGCAATGGAGCAGGCATGGCACTTGGACCACCCAAAGGGGGACCGACCAGGGGGTACCACGGCACGTTCGCGCCTAAATCGGGGGAGTAACTATCGAGTAGAATAGCCGCTCTGTCGGGGTACAGATGTCTCTCATCAATCGCGATGTTCCAGGCATGGCACATGGACCTCCCAAAGGGGAACCGACCAGGGGTATACACGGACGCGTTCGCGCCCAGATTGTGTGGATCTTTCAAATGGGATTGCAGCTATGTCGGCGTAGAAGTGTTCTTTGTTCACAGCTCCGCTACCAATGCGATGTACTGCAGAAAGCATGGGGGGGCTGTGGCCTTGCACAGAAATCGCTTTTTAAAAATATCCTTTGGGGGTAACGCGTGTCATCCGAGGGGGAATCGGGGGTAGGCAGGGGGGATAACAGAAACGGCGGCCGGTGTGCACCCCCAAAGGCGCGTCCGAAACACCGGCGCAACATAGGTGTGCTTACGACAACACCTGCGTGCACCACATCGTCTGTGTACACCACGGTGCTTCTGTTCACCCTAGCACCTGCGCACCCCATGACGCCACATCGCCTGTGTACACCGTAGCGCCTCTGTGCAACACCCGTGTGCGCAACAGTGCCATTGCACGCCACAGTACCTGCGTGCTCTGGACCGTTTTTGTATACCACGGCGCCGGCGCACATCACACCAGCCGTGTGCACCACACCAAGAGCGCTTCCGCAGCACAGTGCCTGTCGACGCCACAGCACTTGAGTGAAACACCTTGCGTTGTACTGGTGAAGACGAGGACGACGAGAGGGGGAATGCTACGACGACGGCGACGCCGACGCCGAAGACGACGACGACAAAGCGACAATGTCTGTGCACCTTCTGGAGCCTCCGGGCCACGTCGGTCTTCGTCGTCGTCGTCCTCATACTCCTCCTCCTCCTTTTCCTCCTCCTCCCCCCTCTCCTCCTCATTATGAGGGTGCCTAGTCCGATGGAAACTGCAAGTATTCACGCCTGTGGCCCGTTCCAAAACGTTTGAATGGGCCCTGGGACACACAAATAAATACACACAAATAAAAAGATTCCCCATATTTTCAAATATTTTGTGGGTCTCTGTCTTCCCCCCCACTTCCCATATTTTCGCATATTTTCTGGGAATCGACGAATCATTCTGTCAGTGTGTTTTTTCCCCTCCTGAACGTTACAGTCTCAAAGGGCAAAGCCGACCGGGGTCCATCCACAAGCCTCTCCGCGCCAAGCTTGCGAGGACCTTCCAGGTGCCCAAATTGCAACGAATGTCCAGACTTACTCATATAAAGGGGCCCCAGGACACACAAATAAATACACACAAGTAAAAATATTCCACATATTTTCAAATATTTTCGGGGTTTCTGTCTTCCCCCCCACTTCCCATATTTTCCCATATTTCGGGGGAATCGAGGATTAATTGTGTCTGTGTGTTTCTTTTCCTCCTGATCGTATTCTGATCCAGTCACTCAGTCTCACCCAGACCAGCAATATCCAGCCACACATACTCAGGCACACTTGCACCGAGACCCATTCTCACCCCAGGCACACGTGCACAAACTCACCCATACTCAGCCACACATTGCCAGGCAGTCTCTTGGGACAATGCTTTGTGCCGTCTTTTCCTCCACCCACGAGGCGGACGTCATCGAAGTGTGGTCCTGAACCCGATCCGAGCGCCGTGGAGGCTCCGCGAACACGAGAAAACATCGGCGGCGGGCGCATAGAGAGGGCTCGTCGGCGTTGCAGAGGCATCGGACACCGATGCGGCTGGACATCGAATCTTCTCCGCCTCGCGGCAATCGGCATGATCCGGCACGGTTGGAAATGTCTCCGCCACTGATGTGGACTCCTGAGTGGACCCGTGGCTGAGCAGCTCGCCTCCTGGCAAGACGGCCTCGACTTTGGAGAACGACGACCGCAACATACCTAAACAAGTGCAAGTCATCAACCGGGCGTGTACATCCGCCAGACGGTCAGCGGGCGTTGCACTAATCTTGAGAAACTCCTTACCGCCCAGCGTCGTGAAGAGTACCGAGACGCCATCAAAAGACGCTTGCAGAACCAGTGCCGGCAAAGCCCACGGCGGCAAAGACTGTACATACTGGAGGTGGGCCGGACTCGCCTGCAGCCACTCTGCCCAGGTTCTGCAGGAGGGCACCTGGCACTGGCCGTAGAAATTCGCCCCGTGGGCTACGGCCACGCCGTCGCTCCTGAGCAGGACGGTGTGGCAGCCGCCAGCAGCAACTTCTGTGTAAGTCAGGCCACTCTCGAGACTTGTTATGCAGCACTGGGCGGCCTGATTCTGGCCAAACGCCACGGCCGTGCCATCGCTCTTGAGCAGAGCGGTGTGGAAATCACCCGCGGCCACCTGCGCGTACGTCACAGCTCCGCCCGGCGCCGGAATGCTGCACTGGCCCGCGTCGTTCCGGCCACAGGCCACGGCAGCGCCGTCGCTCCTATCGGCGGCCAGCCCGGGGGGGGGGAAGTGAGAGGGGGCGGGCCTTCTCAGAAGGTTCGGAAGTTCTCGGGCCTTCGGACAAGTTTTCTGAGCCTTCCCCGAAGACACAGAGAACTTCTCAGAAGGCCAGAGGGCTCCTTAGAAGCTCTGCCGCCTTATGAGAAGGCCTTCTTTGGAGGAGGAGGAGGAGGAGGAGGAGGAGGAGGAGGAGGAGGTACCCATACCTTCTCCTTCTTACTTCCCCCCCCCGCTCGCCACCGAGCCTGAGCAGGAGGGTGTGCGTGCCGCCAGCGGCAATCTGCGTGTAGGTCAGACCTTCATCCAGCGCTGGGATGTCACACTGGCCCCAGCTCCTCGCTCCAACGGCCACTGCCACGCCATCGCTCCTGAGCAGAACGGTGTGGTCTTCGCCCCCAGCGACCTGCGCATAGGTCAGCCCATGCTGCAGCGCTGGAATGCTGCACTGGCCCAATCCATTCGAGCCGCATGCCACGGCCGCACCATCGCTTCTGAGCAGAACAGTGTGGACGAAACCCGCACCAACCTGTATGTACGTTTGACCTTCGTCCAGGATCGGTATGTCGCACTGGCCACAGAAGTTGCCACCGCAAGCCACGGCGGCCCCATCGCTGCGGAGGAGGACCGTGTGGACAAACCCTGCAGAAACCTGCGTGTAGGTCAAGCCGCCGCCCAACGCCGGAATGTCGCACTGACCCGCGCGGTTTTGGCCGCACGCCACTGCCACGCCATCGCTCCTGAGCAACACGCTGTGTTTCTTACCAGCAGCGACCATCGCCAGGTGGGGCTTGCACGAGATGGCTGGCTAGGCCTTGGTCCAAAATGGATGCGCACAGTCTTTTGGCGTCTCGGGGGCCGCTTGGGTAGTCTTGGGGCTCTCTTGGGCCGTCTTGGGCCCCTCAGGGGCGTCGCCGAAGTCTCCTGCGGGGAATGTTGGACCCACGTTGGGCCGCCTCAGGCCCGTCTGGGGCCATCTTTAACCTTTCTGAGGGCCCGGTTGGGGTCTTGGGCCGTCTTTGGCTCCTCTTGGGCCTTTTGGGGGACGCCCATTGGTCTCCTTTTGGCGGCATGGGGCGAGCTTGGGGGTCGCTTGGGCGGTCTTCGACGCTCTGACAGCATGAAAGCAAACAGTCTCCAATTCTACCCACACCCCACACGCAACAACACACACACACACACAAAGACACACAGGCAGCCCGACACACTGGCACACAGACACACAGACACTCAGAAACAAAGACACACACAGACACACAGACACAAAGACACACATACACACCGACACACACACAGACACTCAGACACACGGACACACAGACACACAGACACACAGACGCGCAGACACAGACACACAGACACAGACACACAGGCAGACACACAGAGACACAGACACACAGACACAGAGACACAAAGACACATAGGAACACAAACACACACACACACACCACCACCACCACCCGCTTGCCGGCAGTGAGAAAGCGTGTGGGAAATTTGGCTATCCCTCTCCCTCTTCCCCCCTCCCCTCGGGACCCGAATCTCGCCTAAGTGGGGCGGGGGGGGCTGAAGGGGAGGAGGGGATACAAACTCGCCAGCGCACAGCTGTGGCACTCGGAGCCTCTAAATCCACCCTCCGTGGCCGTCGGGACGCCCAATCTACACCTTTCGAGACGGCTCCAGACAAGGGCTCCAACCGGCCAGAGAGGTCGCAAGAACACCCAAGATGGCCTCAAGACGGCCCAGTACACCCCAAAAAGGGCTCCAAGCGGGACCCCAGATGTTACAATTATGGATGTTCAAGAAATGATTTGCGTGATTGCGTGCTTGCGACCCAGCGTTTGAATGATTTTCGCGCGTAAGAAATCCGCCGGCCCTGTCGGCGTGTGTGAGGGGGAGCTTTGGGTCCGTCATCCCCGGGAGTCCCTAAGACACGATCTTTCATTCGCTTTGCTCTTCCATTCCTGGAGACTCTCCCAAGACCCTCCGTCACGCGCCAAGCTCGTCAACTCGAGGCGGATCGAGCCAGGTCGCAGTCGGAGTCGTGCGTGGGTCGACGGGAGACCCGGTCCATTTGATCCCTTCCCCATCTGGGGGCGGGGTCACGGGGGGGCTCCCCGGGGGTTTCCAGGAGTTTGGTCCCAGGGTGGGGTACACCCTGCGAAATGCTTAAGAAATCATGGGTTAAGAAATTCATAGTCTCAGAACTTGAATAAAAACCTAAAGTTTCCATTCAAATCTCAGGATTTACATTGAAACATTAAGAATAATCGAGACTCTGGCCGAAAATTTAAGTTTTCTTAAGCATCGCCTAAGGTGTAGAGGGTCAGAATACACTGTAGGCCAGTCCACAAGAAACCTGCCACAAGAAGCACAGCCCTGGGACCCCGGGACGTCCATTGGTTGTTGGTGTGGGAGCGTAACGCCTTCCATCGCAAAACCATCGAAACCCACGAAACCCAGGGCACCCTGGAGGCAACCAGGATGTTTCTTGGCATGGGTCTCCACTGTACTGTCCCGCCCTTCCCTTTTCGGACAACCTTCGAGCAAATGTGACCCGCCTTCGGCAAACCAGATCGAGGATACTTCAAGAGGGATCCAAGAGGGCCCAGAATCACGAAGCTATTGCTCCAAGACGAACAACATGGCTTCTAGGCGACCCAAGACGCCTCCAAGACACGCCTAGAGGGCTCCGAGAGCACTCCCAAGAAGGCCCCCCTTGGCGACAGTGATTGTATTCCCCCGGGTCTTTTAACGATGTTCACGTTTCTGCCTGTTCGGCTTCCCGACGCTCCCAAATGGCCCAAAAAGGCCGCAAAGATCTACCTACGACGGCCTGCGAGGCCGTCAAGAGGGCGCCGAGACGGCCCAAAAGGCCGCCAAGGCATCCCAAGGGGCCTCCAAGACGGCCCCAAGAACGCCCCAAGAGGGGAACCAGAGGGCGAAAAACACGAACCGACAACGTCGAGCCCACCGCCCTGAGAGACCCCCAGGAGGCTTCCAAGAGGCTCCCAAGAGGCCCCAAGAGGCCCCCCAAGAGACCCCAGGGAGTCCCACGACGCTCCCAAGAGGCTCCGGAGAGGCTCCCTATCGGCCCCCGACTGCCTCCAGACGCCCCCGATAGCCCTCCGAAGAGATCCCCAAAAGCATGACAGAGGATTCTGACCCACTACCCTGGCACGGTGGCGGAATGGGCTTTAGGCCGCCAGGTAATCCAAGAGGGGCCTGAAATCGTCCAAGCTCCCGAAGAGAGCCCCCAGAGGGCCACACACACACAGAATTCCAAGCACCCCCCCAAACAATACCAGGAAACTTTGGTTTGACACGGTTGCGGGCTGTTTCGGGAACCCTCACGGGCCCTCGGGGCCCCTCTTTGAGACTCTTGGGACTTCCATTTAGCCCAGCGAGAGCTCGAAGTAGGCTCCAAGAGAACCCGGAGAGAGCTCCAAGATGGTCGCCAGAAGGTTGCCCACAGTATCATACTAAGGCACATTAGTGGGATGGCCGTGGGCCACGAGATAATCCAAGAGGGGTCTGGAATCGCCCGAACGCCCCAAGAGCCCCCAGAGGGCCTCCAGATGATTCTCCACGAGACGACCGGGCTCGCCTTCTAGATGGTGGAGATGGCGCTGCATTGATGCCGACATGGTCCAAGATTCCCTCAACGACGGCGGCGATGACCTGGTCTGACCTAAGATGGCCCCAAAATGACTCCAAGACTGTTCCAGATGGCAACAAAAGGCTGCCATGAAGCCTGAGGAGGCTACGAGAGCCCCGAAACAGGCTCACAGGAGGTCTCCTCCTCCTCCTCCTCCTTGTTGTCCGCCTCCTCCTTTCCTCCTTCTCCTCCTCCTGCTTTTCCCCGTCCTCCTCCTCCTCCGCCGCAGCCTCCTCCTCCCCCTTCTGATTCCACCCCGCTTCCTCCCCCAGCGGCTGCGAGAGCACATGGGCAGATAGCTTGGTCAACCTGTGCCCCTCGTCATACGCTTCTTGGGAGCCACCTGGGGCTTCAAGGGCTCTCTTCGGGGCGTATGGCCCCAACCTCCCCGAACACATCCGGCTGTCACCTTCATCATGAGGGTCGGTAGCGATAAACCTTCCGCTGTCATTCTTTTTACGACTCAACGGGTCTGGGAAGCAGGACCAGCCTCCCTCAGGAGCCCCTCAGCACCGTCCAAACGGTCCCCACCCCCACTCGGCCACGCATCTCAGCCCCACCCCGCCCCCCAGTTGGGGATAGGCCCCTCCAGGGTCGGCGGCACCAGCCGTAAGACCTTCACAGTACACATGGGTGTATTTAGCGCCGGGGGCCCCGACGACGTTGGAGGCCGTGGGGCCACCGAGCGGAGTCCTCCGCTTCCGCTCCTCGGCGCCTGGGTCCGGGCAGGCGCCAGCGTCCCTTGCGCGCGCGGTGGGGAGGGGGCGCCGGCGGCACCAGAGGGAGGAGGGCGTGAGAGGAGGAGGAGGAGGAGGAGGAGGAGGAGGAGGAGGAGGAGGAGGAGGAGAAGGAGGAGGAGGAGGAGGAGGAGGAGGAATGTGGAGAGCAGAAGGCAGAAAGGGAGGATGCGACGGATGCGGAGAAGAAGGAAAAGGATGAGAGGAGGAGGAGGAGGAGGAGGAGGAAGAAGGAGGCAGCGGATGAGGAGGAGGAAGAGGAGGAGGAGGAATGTGGAAAGCAGAAGACAGAGAGGGAGGATGCGAAGGATGCGGCGATGAAGGAGGATGAGGAGGAGGACGACGAGAAGGAGAAGGAGAAGACCTGATCACCACGCATCATGTGAGCGGCTGATGCAGCACGGCCCAGGAAAGCCCCGCCGGCGCGAGCGTATGTCGCGCCGCAGGTTGGGAAATGCGCTGGGGATACACCATGTCACCATCCCCCCCCCCCCCTCCCCCCGTCGCCGTGCTGAAGCGCCGCGCACGGGCGCGGCGCGTCCTACCAAGCGGGGGAGGGGGGGCAGCGGCGGCGCACTTTATGCGCTCTTGATCCGCTCCCCTACGAACTAGCCACCAGCCCAGCCAGCTCCCCCCCCGCTACTCCGTAGCCATTTTGGCTCAAGTTCTGTCCTTCGAGCTCCCGACGGCCCTCGCACTCCACGCAGGACCTCCGCTTCGGGGGCAAAACCACAACCGCCGTCATGCCTCCCAAGCGCGGCGCCAAGGAGTTCAAGTTCCAGGTCCAGCTTGCCGGAGAATGGGCAGACTTCGATGCCAAAGAGGACAAGCTGCTGAAGCAAGCCTACCTGTCTGGGTTCCCGAACATGAAGTACCGCTCGCGCGGACAACAGTACGAGGTGGACTTCAGGAACCTCGTGCAGAAGAACAAGGGCACGGGCAAGACGCGGGACATCCGACCGCCGCACAAGTGGAAGCCGCCCCCCGCGCCGATCATGGAGCCTGGCCCCATGACTTGCATCAAGGTGCCGCCTGGGGGCCCAGGGACTACGATCCAGGTTCCGCACCCGAAGGACAAGAGCCGGTTCATCAGCGTCTCGGTGCCCGCAAGCGCCCGGCCTGGCCAGCCCATGATGGTGCCTGTGCCGCCGCTGGAGGAGGTCGAAGAGCCCGCCGTGGTCCCGTCTGCGCCAGCGCCGGCTGCGGCGGCGGCGGCGGCGGCCCCGCCCGCGGCCGCAGAGAAGCCCGAGAAAAAGGGCTGGAGCACCGGGGCCAAGGTCGCCGCTGGCACGGCTGGCGTGGCCGCGGTGGCTGGCCTGGCCGTGGGCGGCGTCATCCTCGGGGAGCACATCGTCGAGGAGGGCTGGGACGCCACGATGGAGGACCTGGGCGACTGGGCTGGCGACGCAGGCTCGACCGTCGCGGGTGTTGCGGAGGATGCCGGGGAGGCTATCGCGGGCGCTGCGGAGGACGTCGTGGACTGGGTGGGCGACGCCGCGGACACCGCCGGCGACTTCATCATGGACGTGTTCTGAGGGCGCCGCGGGCAAACTGCTCGCCTGTGGGCAGGGCTGGCGCCAGCCATGTCCAGAGAGGGAATGCGGGAGGGGACGACGAGAAGGAGAAGGAGGAGGAGGAGGAGGAGGAGGAGAGCCACGGCCGAGGAGAGCGGGGCCAACCATCGTCGTCGTCGGCCCGCCCCTTGCCCCTCGTGGCCGCGCGCCGCGGCGGTTGCGATCGGCAGCCGCTGCAGCCGCCCGCCCGCGGAGGCGGCACCCCTCCGCGCGCCACCGAGCTGCCTGAGGCGGGGCCGAGGGCCCCAAGACGGCCCCCCTCGGCCCCGCCACCTGCGAGGAGGCGGCGAGCGCGGACGCTTGGCCCCCGCCAGGCCGCGCTGGAGGCGGCCGCCACGCCGCGCACCGTCGGAGAGCCCGCCTGGCATCGCCGCGCCAGGCAGCAGCGTGCGGAGTCCAGGGTGCTGCTGAGGCTGCGCACCGCCGCGCAGGTGCTGACCCAGCACTACTGAGCGCAGCGGCAGCGGCATCAGCAGGAGGATGCCGAGATGGCCAGCAGGACGTGGACAGCTTGGCAAAACTGCAGCTGGAAAGAGCAGCAGGATGCCCAGTGGAAACAAAAAGTGCCATGGCGACGGCACGAGGAGAAGAGGACACCCAGCAGGAAGAGAGGACCGCGCCCGCCAAGCGCCAGGAGGAGAGAGCGATCTCACGAACACTGCGGAAGCAAGGAAGAGGGCAAAAGAGGAGGACGCGCTGGGGGCGGAACCACCAGCTCCAGCGTCGCCAACCCCACGGAGCTGAAGAAAATCCTCGAGCAGAACCCGATGGCGACGCCGACGGCAACAAGAGCCCACGAAGCCTTCCACGAGCCGGTGGAGGGAAAGCACGTGGCGCTGCAGAAACAGACATATCGAGAAGAGGTTCGACGACCTCGGGCTGTTCCTGATTACGGCTAAGCAAAGTGATCGCAGCCCTCAAGTCCGCCCTTGTGAACATGCTCCCCAAGCACAAGCGCAGGAGGGAGACGACGAAGGAAATGGAGTACATAGAACAGCATATATATACATATATATACACAGCACAGAAGGAGCATGACACGTGGAGAACAGAGCTCGACAAATGGCAAGATAGGAAGGCCCACATGAGGAACGTTGTCAGCGAGCTCACGGACACGGACGAGGGCGACACAGATGGCGACGACGAGGAGTATTACGACAAGCCGAGGAGGACAGAAGGAAAGGAGGAATACCGTCGACGCCCATCGCCTCCCGGGGAAAGCCAAGAGGAAGAAGACACGCCAAGAAGACAGGGCAACAATATAGATGACATCGTCGAGCGCCTTTCGAAAATCACGCAGGCAATGGAGCTCCAGGCCAAAGAGCAGAAGGACGTGGAGCTGAGTATCAACGCGAAGTATAAGAGAAGCAGCCAGGGAAAGAGCCAGATGGAGGAGGCTGCGGCACGCGAGGAGGCCCTGAGACGGAGTCAGGAGGAGTCAAGTGCAGAGTCGGAGACGAGCAAGAGGATATTGCAGGCAAGGGCCGACAAGACGGCAACTTTGGCGGCAGAGGGAAGAGAGGCCAAGCTAAGGCTGGAATTCCTAGGGGTAGACGAGAGACAGATAATAATGCTCCATGAGGAACAGGCGCAATGCCAAAGACAGAGAGAGGAGATGAGAGCCCAGGCCATGATCAGGCAACAGCACGTGCACGAAAGGCAGAGCAAAGCCGCAAACTGCGTGCGGATGCAGCAGCAAGCGCGCGAGGAGGCTCAGAAGGAGGCTGAGAGGCAGCACAAGATCAAGCAGGAAGCGCTGGTGCGAGAAGTGGCGCGAGCCAGGGCCGCGGCGTTAAGATGCGAGCAGGCAAACGCAGAACAAAGGGAAATTGCGAACCAGCGCCACAGCATGATTGCGCAACACATGCTGGCCCAGGGTGGCTCCCAGATCGCGACGCCCCAGCCGCAGTTCGAGCAGGCCCTGGCGGCACAGAGGAACGCGTGGGAGGCAAGAAGGCTGCGAGCGCAAGCACGGAGGGACATGGAAGTGAGGGAAGCCATCGCGCAGAAGGGTAGGCAGAGGGGCGGGGCACGCGCATGTTACAAGCGCAAACTCAAGCGTGCTAGCCGACATGCCGCGGAGGGCGCGGGCCTCATTGCAGCGCCAGACCGCGACGTCAACGCCAACATGGAGGTCGCGGAGAAAAAGAAAGAGTACGGGAGGGGGGGGGGGCGGCGCGCCAGCAGCGGACCCTGCATGGAGCCACCAGGGACGAGGGCATGCCAAGCCCCTTCTCGATCGCCGAAGGCGCACGGTGGCAGAGCTGGGCAGCAGAGGGAAGAGGGAGGAGGTGCGCGCACCGCCCAGGGCGTGACGCTCAGGGGCGTGGCTGTTGCCCCCTTCCAATCAGCACCCCCAGCGGACTCGCGAACGGGGGGATGAGATCGACCAGGCTATCGCGGCAGCGGTGGATGAGCAAGAGCTGCACGACGCCGAGCTGCAAAAGGCAGGATACGAGATGCCCAGGAGGCAGGAGGAGACCGGCAGGTGGGCGTCGGTGGCACCGTCCCCCATGTCCAATTCGTGGAGTACCCCTGGCTCCGACGACATCCAAGACGCCGGCATCGAGAGGGAGCTGCAACGCCAGGAGCAGATAAGGACCGAGCAACAGGAGGATGACAGGGAGAAAGCAGAGGAGCAATACGAAACCAAGCAGAAAGAAGAAGAGGAGGCAGACAAGGCCACTGCTGCAGACATCGAGATGGTGCTGGAACATGCCGAGAAGGAGCAGGCCGAAAGAGAAGCCGTGGCGGAGAGCATCAGGAAGGGCGAAGTAGGAGACGAGACTCCAGGGGCGAGGGCGGCGGTCCGGGGCCCCTCCGCTCGCACGCGACACCCAGCAGCTGACCAACGACAACGACCGCCCGCCCACCCAGGGTAGGGCTTGCACGCATGTCTGCGACGAAGAGACAGCTCCTCCACAGGGGCGCCGAGAATACTCCGACCCCCGTTTGGAGGTGCGTTTCGACCGACCGCTGCAAGCCAGACGAGCAGCGGGCCAGACGAGCATCGAGGCGGGGATTGACGAGCGCAGGCCCGACGACAACGTCAGGGAGCCCCGCTCGGGACAGCTCGGCGAACGTCGCGAAGCAATCCAACATGGCGGAGAAGAGGGCGTCTCTGCCATCGAGCTGTGTAGGGGGCCAGCGGGACGCGCTACACGCTCGACCAGCAACTGCGGGGGTCCCCGCAGCCAGTTTTACTTGCAATACGGCTGTCACAGACCTCGACAGCGACCTCGACCACCACGCCGAGGCCATCGAGGTCGCCTCGGCGCCAGGCAGCCCGCGACGAGGGCCTTGCCAGGCCCCCGCTGCCACTGCGACGGAGGAGGAACCGCTTGGTAGGAGCATGAGGGCCGCGCCACGAAGAGGCACAGGGGGATTTGCAGCGGGTCGAGCACTACAAACATTTTTACCGAAGCCGAGGAGGTCCCCCACGGACATCTGCCACGGCATTCACTGCGCCGACGTCCAGTACAGAGGAGGCCCCCCATAAGAAAAGGGGCCGCCGCAGGGTGATCCGCAGCGATGCTGACGGCTTCGTGAGCACTGTCGAGCCCTCCCTGCCGGCGGGCGCAGCAAAAGGGCTCTAGAGGAAGCACCGGAGAGAAGGGGGCAACACGAGACGAGAACGCGACCAAAGTCCTGCGGAAGCCCCGAATGCGAGGGATCACCTCCGGCTCGAGCTCGACATGTCTTGCTGGAGGCGTTAGGGCGCAACGTCCTGAGAAAGCCCCGAAGGCGCAGGAACACCTCAGACAACCGTCGCCACGTAGAGCTGGACTTTCGAGCACCCACAAGGAGATGCACGGTGACCCACCACACACGCGGCTGAGTGCGAGCAGCATGACGTTCGACGACGACCATCGGCCTGCACCCGACCCCTGCGACTCACAACATGCAAGTACCCACAACAACCAACACCACCACAGGCACGACCTTCAGCAGCACCCCCCACCCCAACAGCAGCACCCAGCAACAAAAAAGACCTGGCCGCAGACTCCCTGGAAAGGGCAAGGCTCCAACTTCGAGACGGACTCGAGGGCGGGGGGGCAGGACGAAGGCTGCCTGCGCCCACCAGGGGGGGATGCTGAGGGGCAGGGGGGGGGGGGCGGCCACCGCCCGCGTCCCCGCGGCCCGCCCTTGCTCGCCACCCCAGCCACTCCCACGGCGGAGGCGGGGCTCGCCCGAACGCCGACGAGGCGGAGCACGGGACAGCTGCGACCCGGCCCACCACGAACAACAGCAAGCACAAGGCCTGAAGTTCGCCCCCACCAAAGGCAATGTGACCCCTAGCCATGTCAAGGGGCCCCAGGACACACAAATACATACACACAAATAAAACATATTCCCCTTATTTTCGTATATATATATATATATGTATATATATATATATATATATATATATATAGATTATGGGTTTCTGTCTTCCCCCCCACTTCCCATACTTTCCCATATTTTCTAGGGAATCGACGAATACTTGTGTCTGTGTGTTTCTTTTCCTCCTGAACAACAGCAAGCGCAAGGCCTGAAGTTCGCCCCCACCAAGGGCACTGTGACCCCCAGCCATAGCGGGACGAGGTGGGGCCACCGCGACTCCCACCTGAAGTCGGCGCACGGAGGCCAACCGAGTGCTACCCACAGCCAAACACCACCAACGCCAGCAGCGCACCGACACCACGGCCAACCTCCCAACGGACCCGACCCACACCTACAACCAGACCAATCGACCAAGGCCGATAGCTCCACCTACGGACAACACGTGCAGGGCCCCCAGAACGACCTGCGCAACAAACAGACGAGCGCGGTTCGAGGGTGCGCAGAAGGCTACCGACATTCACAACCCGGAGGATAGAGGAGATGGACCCGATCAGCAGTGCATACCGAGAACGTGCAGATGCAGGGCGCACGAGACCTTCCAAGACGCATGCAAGAGGAACCCAGCCGTATTCGACCTCAAAACCGGCTGCGACAACACCATCGCTTCGGGACTTGCCCGGCTGGCCCTCGAACCGGCGCCGAGGGAGACGGCAGA